GACTGAAGCTCTTCCCACACTCAAAGCATGTATATGGCTTTTCCCCTGTATGGATTCTTTGATGGCAAGTGAGGTATGTGCTATTACTGAAGCTCTTTCCACATGACAGGCATTTATAAGGTTTCTCTCCTGTGTGGCTTCTGTTATGTAAAGTGAGGTGTGAGCTCTGAGTGAAGGTCCTTCCACATTCCAAGCATTTATATGGCTTCTCTCCTGTATGGAGTCTCTGATGAGAAGTCAGGTGTGCATTCTGACTGAAGGTCTTTCCACACTTCAAGCATTTGTATGGTTTTTCCCCTGTGTGAATTCTCTTGTGTAAAGTAAGGTACGTGCTATGACTGAAACTCTTTCCACACTCCAAGCATTTATATGGTTTCTCCCCTGTGTGAACTCTCTTATGTGAAATGAGGCCTGTGCTAGTACTGAAGCTCCTGGCACATTCCAAACATACATATGGTTTTTCCCCCGTGTGAATTCTTTGATGTTGCGTTAGCTGTGCACTATGACTGAAGTTCTTTCCACACTCCAAGCATTTATAGGGTTTCTCTCCAGTGTGTATTTTTTGATGTGAGGTAAGACCTGAGTTCTGACTGAAACTCTTTCCACACTCCAAGCATCTGTATGGTTTTTCCCCTGTATGAATTCTTTGATGAGAAATAAGGTGCTTGTTCTGACTGAAGCTCCTTTCACACTCCAAACATTTGTATGGTTTTTCTCCTTTGTGAATCATTTGATGTTTATTCAGCAGTGCACTCTGAGAAAAACCCTCTCCACATTCCAAGCAATTAAATAGTTTTTCTCCTGTATGTGTTTTTTGATGTGACATCAGGTGTGTTCTTTGACGGAAGCTCCTGCTGCACTCCGAACACTTATAACATTTCTCTCCTGTGTGGATTTGCTGATGTTTAGTAAGATGTGACCCCTGAGTAAAGCTTTTTCCACACTCCAAGCATTTATATGGCTTCTTCCCTGTGTGTGTTCTCTGATGTTTAGTGAGCATTGAAGTCTGACTGAAGCTCTTCCCACAATCCAAGCATGTATATGGTTTCTCTCCCGTGTGGCTTCTCTGATGTGAGGTAAGGTGTGTGCTGTGGCTGAAGCTCTTATCACATGCCCTGCATTTATATGGTTTCTCTCCAGTGTGAGTCCTGAGATGTGAGTTAAGTTTTGATTTGGAAGAGAATGTTTTTCCACATGATGGGCACCTGTTATCTCCCTTTCCCCTGTGATGTTCCTGCTGGACTGGAATTTGATGAAAGTCACCAGCTTGTTTAAGGCAACAGGTATCCTTCCCATTCCCTGGTTTGCTTTTCTCCTGCTTCCTGGACGCTGCTCGGTCCCCAAAGCTGCCTTCCTCCATTTCATGGGTGGCTGTTCTTGAGGAGCTCATGCCCGGCTCTTGAGAATGAGGACAATGCGGCTCATCTCCTGCAGGGATCAAGAAGGAACCCTTGGTTAGGAACAGAATGGGGAAATGGAGGCTGCCACCTACAATCAAGTTGCTGTTGTTGTGAATGAATACAGCTGTGGTCCTTTGACCCATTTCCTTCTGGTTTCAGATACAGTTGTGGCATGGAGACAGCTCTGGACCAGATGTCCAAGCCATTTTTACAGCAAAGGAGCTTAGGAAACCTTGAAGGCTGACACATTTTTATGGTTCAGGGTTTCACAAACTGAACCCCATGGCAGGCCGTCTGCCCTATTTAGGGGACAGTCCCAAAAGCTTATGCCGTAAATACAGGTTGGTCTTAAGGCCATACGTGACTCTCGCAACACATGGTGGCCCTCTCAGGAAAATGAAATGGCAACATACACCCGTACACACAACTAGCAAAGGGTGCTTCTTGGAGAAGCAAGCGTAGCTTTCCAGGAAAGGGTATAACCAGAGCTCCACAGGCACCCGCAATTCACTGCTTCCCGATGACACACATTTATTTATTTCAAAGATATGAAACTTTTGAGTGAAAGCATATGCCATAAACTCTTCACCAAAGCAATTTTGACAACAAAAACACACAGCAGCTACTTGGGAGTGTGTGATGTAATGGCCCCTCTAGGATGGTGCAGTGCCGTAGTCAGTACAGCGTGTCTAAGCACATGTTCGTACAGGGAACTGAGGAAACCTGCAAACACATGTCCGAGGGCAGCAAAGGATTTTGGGTCCCTTGAGGAAGTATGAGGTTGGAACCATGGGAAGAAGCGTAACAAGACAGCAGTATAAAAAAGTGAGATTAAAAGCAGGGGGACACGAAATGACCTTTGAGGACCCTCATCTCTAACAGGGAAGGTTCTGCGACTGTCATTTTCTGTAGCCTCCATAGGGAAGCAGCTGCTCTGTTACCTGCCCAGAGAACCTCGGCTATTGGGCAGTATAACAATGAAAGAACTAGAAATACAGAAACTGTGAGTCAGAAGGGGCTTCCTGGGCCCATCTAGTCTGACCCCCACCTCCAGCTGGCTCCACTCATGACATGCCTACCATGTGCATGTCTAGCCTATCCTTGAACACCCTCACCAACGGGGCCTCAGCCACCTCCCATGGAAGCCCATTCCATGCCCTAGGGGTCTTAAACAAAGTTATCTTAACTAGATAAACCAAGGTCTGCCTGAGCAACACAGTCTTGATTAACTTCCTGAGAGAAGACTGAAAAGAGAAGAAATTCCCTTGCCCTCTTGAGAAGCAGTCCCAAAGTCTAGGCGCTACCACTGAGGAAACCCAAATCACACAGCCTGTGTGATGATTGTGTGAATGTGTGTGCATGATTTGTTAATGTTCTTTTAAAACAGGCCTGGAAGGCCAGTTTAACTCTCAGTGTTTTCCAGACCCTGCCCCACCCCAGCCAGCTTCCTTGACATCCTTTGGAAAGGAATGCCCTCCTTCTCTCACCCAGAAAGTGAGCTCAGGTTTGCCCAATGCTCTGAAGGAAACAAGCTCATTGAGTCATTGCCCCTGTGGGGTGGGGGGGCGGCCCAAAGTCACCCAGCAGGCTCCCTGGCTGAGCAGTCCTCGAGCCCAGATCACCGGAGTCCCACCCCTGCACCACACTGGCTCTTCCTCTTGGAACCAGAAGGGCGAAAGGTGTCCAGGTCACTCAAGTCCCTGGATGCACCAGGGAGCACGTGACCAAAGGGCTGCCTGCAGGCTTCTCCCTGGCTTCTGAGCACTGCTAATCTGCAGCTACCTTTCATGCCTCCTCAACAAACTGCATATCGTCTTTGAGAGACCGTTAGAACCGCCTTCAGACGCCATCGAATGCCTGCAAGAGGCACTGGTTTCCGTGTCGGGATTCCATGCGGGTCGACCCACCCAGGGCTTCCTGGGGCCACGCCATCTGCGCACTCCCGCAGAAACAGCTTGAGGCAACGTCTGGACCCACAACTCGAGGGAGGAACAAGCGCGGCGTCTCCGCGCATCTTTTGCAAACAGCACATCGCACCGCGATCCCGGAGGGGCACGGCCTCTGGCGGCTGCTTGCGGTAGAGTCCGCGCTTGCCCCGGGGGTGCACGTAAGCGAACCTCGGATCGCAAGCGAACGAGCGGGTTCATGGGGCGCCCCCGGCTGGCGGCAGGGCGGGAAACGCCGATCGGGGCACTTCTTTTCCGCCCAGAGCCGGGAAAACGAGGCCGAGGGATTCCTGGCAGAGGGGCGAAGCCCTCGGGATTCCCCAGCGGGGCTTCTGCGCACCGATCTGGGCCTGATCTTCCTTGGGGAACGCGCTGCCCTCGCCGCCGCCTCCACGATCACCCCCTCCCCGAAAGGAAGCGGCGTCACCCCGTCCGGATCCAAGCCCCCACCTCTCCGGAGCCCTTCTCGGGTGGGGGGGGGCGGCCAGAACTCCACGCGGGATGCCAAGCGCGCCGCAGCCTCTGGTCGCCCGGGGCGCCCTCCTCCCGCAGCCGGGCGCCCCCGGGCAGTGCCAGCCCCGCAAGTCGGCACGCCCTTGGGGGGGCCCTGCCCCTTCTCCCCTCTCCCCACAAAGCTTTCACCTGGGCGCCCGGCCGGGCCAACTCGCGAGGAGGCCAAAGCCCAAGCGGAGGTTCCGCAGTCCACGGAGAAGCACGAACGGCACCCCGCGCAGCCTCGACGTCCGGCTCCGCTTGGGCGCCAGCCGACCCGGACGGGCTGCGATGCCACCTTCTCCCTATGGTGCCTCCGGTCGGTCGCACGGCGATGACGGTCTCCAAAGAGTCGCGGGGGAACCGGAAGTGACGACGCTAAGTCGGAATGCTAAGAAATGCCCATGGCTGGGTTTGCAAACAGAGGGGGAGGGGAGGGGAGGGGAGGGGAGGGGGATGAGCCAGTCGCCGGATCCTAGAGAAGCACGAGCCTTTCTTTGTTTTAGAGGGGTGGGGCAATTGCGGGTCCTGTTGATCTTTTCAGTCCCCAGGAAGGGAATTTAGACGCGTGGACCCCGCCAAACAAAGGTTATATTCCCCTCTGACAAGGAGACACGGATCCTTTCCTCATTAATAAGAGTATTACATAACATTCGTACCTCCGTTTTATCCCCACAACAACCCTGTGAGGTAGGCTGTGTTGATTATGAATGCCTGGAGAAAAGTCCTGGTCCTGCACGCTTAACCACAAAGGACTGCATCCTCCATCTTGCAGTCCTTCAAGGAACTGCCAACCATGCCATTGCAATTGTAAGCCGCCCCGAGGCTTCGGCGAATGGGGCGGCATAAAAATGTTTTAATAAATAAATAAAATAAATAATTGTCTTTCAATAAATAGTAGATGGTAGAGGGAGGCAGAAGGTTGGTTGTGGCATTGTTTGGCTGTGTGCGTGCACCACGAGAAGTGCGGATGGTGTTGGGAAAATTTGGATGAATCCTGTCTGAAAAGCATTACTTCTGTGTGCTTTTTTTTGCATTGTGGGATCAAATCCTGTCTCCTCAAAACCAAGCTGTCACTGTTTAAAATGGCATTCCCCCACTCCTTTCTCTCACTTTTAGCTGTGGGCTACAGTAGACAGGCCATTCAGTCCAAATATACATTGTAAATAGTCATTGTTGGAATTCAGTTTACAAGGAAGTATCTTTTGATAGGCCAGAAGCTCCATGTGCCCTGGCCAATTCAGAATGTCTAGAGTAGATAAGAGTCTTGAGTTCATGATTAGTTTCTAGTAGCTTGAATTTACATGTCTTAAGCAGACCTGGAGATGGGTTCAAGCTACTGAACTAAAGTGTCAATACAGGCAATTAGAAATACTGTAATCTCATTGTTACTGTGTGATTGACTGACATTTATTATCTGTTCTGTATGCGATGGCCTCAGAATCTTATTGTAATCTCTGCATTCTGTCATCAATTGCCCTGTACCTGTATGTGACTGGGAGTGTACAAAAACTCTTTAGTTGTGTTGAAGTTTTGCAGCAGAGTTCACTCTGCCTGCATGGTAATGCATTATCGTGAGTATGGACCTGCGGGGAACCTGGGTAAAACAATAAAGCCTCAGATGGTCTGGATGCTTGGTCTTTCCCACAAACCCGAGTTTTATTCCCTCTTCTCAAATTGAGATTCCGGGATTCTGACAATGGCCACCCATTTGGATCACCTGAAAGGGGGATTGGACGCATTCATGGACGCAAAGGGGATCCCAAAGTTTCTGTGCGCATGAAAAGCCCTACAGGAGGACCATCCGTTGAACCAGAACCCTCCAAGATGGTCGTGGGGGAGCCGGCAGTGCCCCCGCAGTATCAGAGGGAGAAGAAACGCACATTGGCTGACAAAAGGAGAGGAATTGGGGGGGGGGAATAATACAGAGCCCACCCCCTTCATTTTCCCGGAAAGGAAACAAATGGGAGGATCGGGAAGGACACCAAAGGTGTAATTTTGGGCATGGGGGTTTAACTGTTTTGTGGTGGGGGGTTACATATATAGATATCAAAACATATAGATACTCCAAAATCCCCTCCTATAAGAGATCTGGACCTAGTAGAGCTGGGTTATTTTTCAGAACAAATTACACAGTGTTGTGGCTGGAACTGATTTATCACTCTCACCTTCTAAGTTAACAGGTTTGGCTATTCAGTGGTATAAAAGAGAGAGAGAATGAGAGAGAGATCCAGATGATCACATTTGCAGACAAAACAAAATTGGCTAGAATAATGTACACCCTATAGGACAGAATGAAGATCCAGGGCGATCTTGATAATCTTGAATGCTGGGCTGAAAGCATCAGAATGAGATTCAATAAGGACAAGTGCCAATAAGGAAAAAGAAATTGAATTCATTGATACAAGGTAGGAATATGTGGCTCAACAGAACTGAATGAGAAAAAGACTGTGGAGCTCTTGTGGACAACAGGCTAAATAAGAGCCAACATTGCTATGCAGCTACAAAAAGGGCAAATGCTATTTTGGGATGCATAGAAACATAGAAACAGAGCGAGTCAGAAGGGGCTTCCCGGGCCATCTAGTCTGACCCCTGGCTCCAGCCGACTCTGCTCACAACATGCCCAGCATGTGGACGTCCAGCCTATCCTTGGATACCCTCACCGATGGGGCCTCAACGACCTCTCGTGGAAGCGCATTCCAAACCCTCGGGGTCCTAACTGTCAGGAAGTACTTCCGGGCATCCAAATTGAAGCTTGGTTCCCTGAGCTTTGCTCCATTGGAGCATGTCCTGCCTTCCTCTGCAGGGGAGAACATATCTCTACCCATTTCCATGTGACACACCTCACGTACCTGTATGTCACCAACAGATCCCCTCTGAGTCGCCTCTTCTCCAGGCTGAAAAGACCCAGTTCCCTCAGTCTCGCCTCATACGGCATCCCCTGCAAACCAGCCACCAACCTTGTGGCCCTGCGCTGCACTGTCTCCAACCTGGCTATATCCTTCCTGTAATGAGGAGCCCAAAACTGAGCCCAATATTCCAGTTGCAGGTGCACCAGAGTCGTATAGAGTGGAAGGAATGCACTAGTAGAGGAATTACTTACAAATCATGAGAAGCAGTATTTCCCAACACTCCTCACTAGTCAGACCCCTTCTAGAATACTGTGACCAGGTCTGGGCACCAAGATTTAAGAAAGATGCAAAAAGAGCAGAAAGGGTCCAGAGGAAGGCAACCAAATTGTCCAGCGCTTGGAAACACTGCCCTATGAGGAGAGACTGAGAGAACTGGGCATGCTCTGAGTTGTGAGGGAGGCCAGAGCACGGCTGGTCCAAAAGGAGAAACACACACCAGCATTCTGCTGCTAACCCTGCAAGGGAAGGGTGAGTCAAGCTTGAGCAGAGAAAGTCCAGACAGACCTTCTCCATGGTTCCTGGAGTTAAAGACACCTTTGCTCGGAGTAGTAGCAGGCCCAGCCTCATGCTTGGGGCCAAAGATGAGCCTGGTTGGATGCTGCCCAGGTCTCCCTCACCCCGTCCCCCACCCTTGCACAGGAGAAGGGAAAAAGAGGCAGTCCCGGGAGTCCTATGGCTTCTTATCCATGTAGGTTCTTCCATGGCATTGAGGACAGTTGTTCAAGCCAAAGTTCTTCCTGCATTTATGGCATCAACAGCATTTGGGGTCTCTCATTCGGAAATAGGCTCCCACTTGCTCTGAACTTCTTTCCATGGGGGCTCTTTTTATATGGCTTTTCCCCTCCCTGGGCTTTGTAATGCCTACTGATTCCCTGCTGAAATGTTCATTGTTGGCTGGATGACTAATCTAAACAAGAGGTGCAGATGAATTGTTCGATTTGACCCCACAATGAGCCCTTTCCCCTTCTCGGGCTGTTTTCCCTCTTTTCCTTAACCTGGACTGCTTCCTCCATTCCCTGTGGTGTTGGGAGGTCTCTCTCCTCACCTCAAACACCCTTCTTTGATCGAAAGGACAGACCAATGCCCACAACTCTGCCTGTCCTACCAGTCTTATGAATAAAAGAAAAATGAAGATGTTGTCAGGCTGAGACAGTCAATTCCACAGGATGCGGAGAGGGGAGTGGGGGAGAAGCAGAAGTAGTTTTCATGGTTTGTTCTCCTGAGGGTAAAACATCACAGTGAAAAGCCACACTCTGTCTGGCACAGTAAAGACGCTGAATAGTCATGCTCATGGGGAGCTGAACTTGTGTGAGCTGGAACTCAAATTGCAGAGAGACCGGCTTCCCTGAGTTTCCAAGAAGTGTTCCATCCCAGTGTTTTCCATCTGATAACCCATTATCAGAGCCAGTGTGGTGCAGTGGTGAAGAGCGTGGGACTGGGACTCAGGCGATCTGGGTTTTAGTCCCCGCTCAGCCATGGAGCCAACTGGGTGACTTTGGGCCAGTCACAAACTATCAGCCCAACCTACCTCACAGCGTTGTTGTTGTGGGGATAAGATGGAGGAGGAGATGTAAGCTGCCTTGAGCCCTTTGTAGGAAAAAGGCAGGGTATAAATCGAAAAATAAATAAATAATAAAATAAAATAAATCCCCAGCTCCTTGGCTTTTTTGCTCCTGGGACCCCAGGGTTTGAAAGCCCCTCCAGGGATGGCTACATTCTCTGGGCTAAAAGAACGGAGCAATCCTGGGAATACTGGACCCAGGGCTGGCTGTTCTCTCCAGGCAGCTCCCGGAGATCCGCTTTTCACCCAGTGGAAAGGCACCTGGGTTTGCATTATGGGGGCAAAGAGATGTCAGGAGGCAGGGAAGCCACAGCAAATGTGAAAGTGCAGGCCCTCACGGCAGGGGGAAGCCCTTCCATGCTTGCCCCTCCCCAGCAATATCCATGGCAGGAGCAGTGGAGGGGGAAGAACAGGCCACGGGGAAGTGCTCTATCTGCCAGGTAGCCCACAGCTGCCCCCCCCCCACCTGCAGTGCAGATTTCTGGGCAGGGAGATGTAAGGAAGGTGCATAGGAGAAAGGGGGCCAGTGTACCTCTGGGGCTGCATAAGCCGGACAGCACACAGCCGAGCGTAACTCTCCAAGGCCCCCCAGATCCCAGGCGAGGGATGGTCCCGACCCACATGCAAGAGCCTCTTTTCCTCGGAAGCCTGCAGGGAAATCGTCTGCGTCTCTCCTTTGCAATACAGGGGATGGGTGTGGATTACTCGCATTGTATGCACCAGGGAGGGCTGCAGGTGAGCGAGGGGTTTCGCAGGCCTCCTTCTGGGCCCTGTCGAGACCCCCAGAAAAGGAGGAGAAAGGTTTCTCCGGTCCTCCTATCCTCTCCTCTCCCACCCAGCCCCAAGTCTCCGGC